TTTATTGATTTATTATACATTTCCCCTTTCCCCCTCCTCCTTTCCCATCTATCCATGCGGTGTATTAAAGTGTCGTACATTTGCGCCGTTAAATAAAAGCTCCGACACACTGCAGATGTGTTTGTTTTCGCTTCTTTAAGTCTTGACTGATGCCTGATGTGCTTTCTGAACAGTTGGAAACCTCCAGTCTCCCTCAGCAGCTAACCTGGCCACGTTGCAGTCCTACAGGCCTCTTCTGAGCGACTACGGACCGCCATCTCTGGGATTCTCACAGGTAACCGCTATCGAACTGACACAGCCGAAACCACGCAGACATCTCATCTAGATCTGCCTGTTTAAACTGACAAATAGTGTGTGTAGACCTAAACCTGCCCACCAGACTCTGTTCATTTTTATGGGAATTTAAAGTTTTTAGCAACATAATCTACAAGTCAAATGTTTTTTTTTGGATGTTTCTACTATTGGCTTATTTTTATTGTCATTTTCGACTAATCTGTCAATCATTTTCTCCATAATCAATTAGTTGTTTGGTCAATAAGGTGTATTAATATGGTAAAACATGTTGATCAGCACAAGATATTCAGTTTACTGTCATAGAGGGATAAATAAACCAGAAATAAAGAGAGTACTTCTTCCACCACTGCTGGGTAGCACTCCACATGAATAGGAATATTCAATTAATTAAATTAAATATTACAAAGTGTCTGTTCGTGCCTGTTTCTTTAGCCTTTCACAACAATATTTGTGGGGTTTTTTTGGTCATTTTTGTTGCACAATTCTTCTTCACACGTCTTTGTTCTCTCACTGCGTTGTTCTCCGGACTAAGACGTGTTGAACCTGGCTCATCTTTGCTCTGTTTGCTCGAACTCCAGGGCTCCTCTGGCAGCCAAGTGCCTCAGAACAAATATGCAGAGCTGCTGGCCATCATCGAGGAGCTTGGAAAGGAGATCAGGCCCACGTACGCTGGAAGCAAGAGTGCAATGGAGAGACTGAAAAGAGGTGAGCCTCGCATAACGCAGGACAATTAAAGTGCAAAGAAAACATGTAATTTAAAGTCTAACTGGTGTTTCCTCCACACAGGGATAATCCACGCCAGAGGGCTGGTGCGTGAGTGCTTGGCTGAGACGGAGAGAAACGCGAGGTCCTAGCTACGAACACGCTCACATTCCTCCCTGCAAGAAGAGCTAACAGCGTGTCTCATGAAAAAAATAAATAACTTGCATGGCATTTCCTTCGAGAAGAGGAAGTAAACGAACAAAGGATGGAAAAGCGAGCTCCTAGAGAGAGAGAGAGAGGGAGAGAGAGGAAAAAAAAAATACAATACCACAATTCATGACTCCTGAGGGTTCTGGAGGATCATTTAAATCATGCGTGGGTTATTGGGATTCAATTGAGAGGATATCATGTGTTTTTATGCCCCCACTTTTGGGATCTTAGTTTTGACTTCATATTTAAAAAAACGTTGATTTCTGCATGCGGACGGGCCCGTGGGTTAATTGTAGACAGTGCATGGCTTGTACAGGGGTAGATGGAGAAGTTCTTCTTCTTTTTTGATAGTATTTGGTCTGTTTTTCGGACCCCTATAACACACATGACTGAGTGAGTGAGGGACAGAGATGTGCCAAATGCATCGGTTCATTCGTGTTGAGGTTGGTTTTGGTATTAAAAAAAAAGGAAAATGCTGTTACTTGCATCTTTGTATGTATTTATTACTCAGTGTAATAAATTGTATTTTCAATATAGGTGTCTTGTGTGATTTAGTTTTGATAAGCTCGTGTATCGACCCAAAAAACTCATACCGGTTGTTTCTGTGCAAATATAGTCGAGTCTCCCGTTCTTGTTTGTTTCCATCATCATCAAAAAAGTGAATAATTCCCTGCAAATGCATTAAAACTAAAGTAACATGCCTGTTTTTAAGATGTAAGAAGTTGAATGTATAGATAATTATGTAAAAATGTTGGTGGTAAAAGTAAAAATGTACACTGGAGTTACCTGAAATAACTACTTAAGTACGGTTGTGAGTGACAGTGGTGGAAAATAACATTTTACTACGAACATTTACTTAAGTATTTGCTGGTTCTGATACTTTATACTTCTACTTTACTACATTTCAGAGGAAGATATTTAGCTTTTTACTTGTTCAGCTTCTTGCCATGTTTCTAATGAGTTGTTAACAGCTCCACAAAAGAGACATTTCCCTTCTAAACTTCTCAGATAGTCTATTTTAAACAACTGTTTGAGTCTCAAAGAGGTAAAATTATCCAAATTTTCACAAAAAGATTAGGGAAAAAGTCCAAAAATATACTATATATATACTGTTTGTGCCGCAGAATTTTTTTTTTTTCATTCACGACCCCTCAGATTTATCTGGTGACCCTCTGAAGGGACCCAAACCCCCGGTTGAGAACCACCGGACTAAACAAGCCAACTGTATATAAAGTAGTTCAAACTGAAACATCTGCTGCAGCTACAACAATAACAGTAACTCTGACTGTAATATGTAATAACGTGTTTTTCTCTGCATAATGAGTAGTTTTACTTTTGATTGATTTGACTTTTTGCTGATGATACAAAGACAAAGTCGTCCTACTTTTATTTAAATAAAGGATCTGAATACTTCCTCTACCACTGGTGAAAATAAGGAAAACTGCAGGGTTTGTTCTCTTTGCTCTGAGGACATGGTTCATGTGTATGGAAGTTTAATTTCTGCCAATGTGACAGAAAAAAAGGATTCTGTAAGTCATTACAATGAGAAACTCTCTTAAAATGCTGACATAACATCTTTAAGTAATGATTTAGTATCATAAAGTCATCATTTTAAAATACTAATTCATACTTTGAGAAACTTTCTCATTATAAAGACTTACAGAAACCTTTCTTTCCCGTCGCATTGGCAGAAATTACCTTCCATACATGTGAATAACTCGTGAGTAACTTTCTTCAGCTGAGGTATCTTTGGGGGCGACTCAGTGGAGAGTTGGCGTTTTAAACTCTGGCTGTTGAAGAGTCCTTGAACACGACAATGAGCTTCAGACTGCTCCCAACAGAGTGTGAGTGAGTGTGTAAGCAGATAAAGCTCTTTGGATGCAGTTAATTTCATCTGAACACTTTCAAGTAAAGGGAACAATGTCAATGTTTATAAAGAGCCAATGATTTTTCAACTTGCAGATCAGATTTTGCCTGTATTAAACTGTCAAAGGCCATTGAAGTATCTTAAGGGCTACTTAATAATAACATGATAGTGGCTCAGAGCAGTAATTCCCAACCTTTGACAGTAATTGTGAGTTCCCAGCCAGCAGTGCTTTGGCTCCAGGCCCAACTGATTAAATTATTTTTTTTTTTGGATTAGTTTATAAAAACACTCATCCAGTTGTTTGTGTTTTGTCATAACAAGCAAAAGTGATGCTTATGTTTAGTATATTAATTGTCACAATGGCCCTCAGTATATATATACATACAGTGGGTACGGAAAGTATTCAGACCCCTTTAAATTTTTCACTCTTTGTTTCATTGCAGCCATTTGCTAAAATCAAAAAAGTTCATTTTATTTCTCATAATGTACACCTCAGCACCCCCATCTGACAGGAAAAAAACAGAAATGTAGAAATTTTTGGCAAATTTATAAAAAAGAAAAACTGAAATATCCACAGTCGGTGGCTTTTATGGCAGAGTGGCCTGACGGAGCCTCTCCTCAGTGCAAGACAATATTGAAAGCCTGCATAGGAGGTTTGCCCAAAAAAACACATGAAGGACTCCCACCACTATGAGAAAGAAGATTCTCTGGTCTGATAGACCAAGATTGAACTTTTTGGCGTTAATTCTAAGTGGGTATGTGTGGAGGAAAAAACCAGGCACTGCTCATCACCCTGCCCAATAACAATCCCACAGTGAAACATGGTTGATGGCAGGCATCATGCTTATGGGGGTGTTTTTCAGCTGCAGGGACAGGACGACTGGTTGGCAACTTGAAAGGAAAGCATGAATGCGGCCAAGTACAGAGATCTCTGGGAAAGAAAACCTCTTCAGAGTGGCTCAGGAACCTCAGACTGGGGGGGGGGGGGGGGGGGGGGCGGCCGAAGGTTCACCTTTTCCAACAAGACAATGCACCCTAAGCACACAGCATAAAAAACAAAGGATTGCTTGAACAACTTTGACCATTTCCTTGCCCAGCCAGATCCCTGACCTAAACCCAACTGACATCTCTGGAGAGAACCGAAAAGTCTGTCCACCAACGGTCAACCACACCAACCCTTACATGAACTTTGAGATGGATCTTCCAAGGGAATATTGCAGAGTATTTCCCCAAATCCAGTTTGAAAAACTTGTTGCATCATTCCCAAGAAAGACTCTATGGCTTACTAGCTCAGAAGGGTGCTTCTACTCAATACTGAGCAAAGGGTCTGAATACTTATGACCATGTGATATTTCAGTTTTTCTTTTTTAATAAATTTGCAAAAATTTCTACATTTGTTTTTTTTGTTTTTTGTTTTTTTTTTTCTGTCAAGATGGGGTGCAAGTGTACATTAATGAGAAATAAAATTAACTTTTTTGATTTTAGCAAATGGCTGCAATGAAACTGAAAAATTTAAAGAGGTCTGAATGAAAATAGATGTTTATATGTTTCTTAAACTAATAACGTTACTAAAGAATATTCGTGTTCAATAATTGAACATAAATATTGTGAACCAGTTCTAGAAATGAACGCTGAGAAAATAAAAATATCAAAACATTGGTAATACCTAAATGTATTTCTATATTGTATAGCAGAAAAAACAGTATTCATATCGGATAACAAATACTATATTGATACGTCTGCAGTGGATCAATTTATGACGTCAGTTCCTGTAAGTGAACATATCGATCCTGATTGGATTTGTGTAAAGTTCAGTTTTATATTGTATCAATATATTTATTAGATTATAGCAAGATTATAGTAATAAATTAATATTAGATTATATTTCATTATATATGAGACATTTTAGTAATAATACAGGACAGGAAACAGTTGTGAAAAAGTTTATTAAAGCTCTTTAATTACAAACATTTGGCATCCGTCATTCTGCAAAAACAGGAAGTGAAAGAAAGAAAAAGCACCAAGTGAAAACGTAAACAATGTGAACAACATAAACAAAAACAACATAAATAACATAAAGTTAAGAAAGCTGAGTCACCATTTTAAAATCAACAATAAAATAATAATGAACCCTGAAACAACAAAAACTCTCATAATGTCCTCAAATGAAAAAGTCCAAATCAAAATCAATAAAAACAACAACAAATGAGTATAAAATTAATAATGAACCAGAATAAATAAAGAAATAAATCAGCTTTAATCTGTCAGAATGAACCAATAAAAACTGACTCTTGTTTACAGCAGATTAAAGGGTCACAGGTCACCACTAAAGGGTCAAAGTTCACCAAAGTCAAACCAAAAAAAAGTGTCAGTTTCAATCTGAGGAAGAAATAAAGTTTTTCTCACCAACTTAAAAAACAAAATTAGTTTTTCAAACACAAATGTAATAAAATTAAACATTTTAATGATTGATTCAATTATTTATTGGCACTTATTTATTCTTTAATGTCTAATTAATCAATGTTCTTCTTGCTGCTCGTCCTGATGGTGGCACTGCAACAAATCAATAAATCAATAAATCAATGAACTGTATTGTTTTTTGTTTTCAGTTTTATCTGATCAATACACTCTCACCATCACCTGCTCTTCCTCAGGAATCATTCAAACCATCCACCCTCCTGATGTTAAAGTTGCCGTAGGAACTTTCACCAGAAGGCGGCGGCGCCGAGCACAAACTTTCAGATGTTTATAAAGTCAGAAACCGATGAATGAACGAGGCTTCTCCAAAGATCGTTAATGTTTGACTGGAAATCCTCAGAATGGATCAATAATGTGATTGTAGACGTATGAATGGATCAATAACGTGATTGTAGACGTATAGATTAATTAATAATGTGATTGTAGACGTATGAATGGATCAATAATGTGATTGTAGACGTATGAATGGATCAATAATCATATTGTACAGTTTGTTTCTTAAGAATAAAACACAGCCGCCCCTGTTTTTGTCTCTGTGTAACCCCACAGCGCCACCGTCCTGTTTCCAGGTGTTGTTGTTGTTGTTGTTGTTGTTGTTAGACCTTGAATGATATCATGATTTATTAATTAGGTTATATAATGTCCTGTAGTAGATATTTATGTCATACGATCAATAATAGATTGATCAGTAATCAGGTCAGATCTGTCCTATTATTATTGATCACATTTACTGCTGATTATTGATTACTCACTCGCTGTTCTCGTTGATTGGAGCCGATATTTCTGGATCAATAATGTCACAGTCAGACCAATCAGCTGACAGGAAGTTTCCCAGAAACCACCAGTGTGACCAACGTTTGTCCAGATAATCAATCAGTCCTATTGATCACTGCCGTACGCTCAGTGTTGAGAACGCCGTGAGTTCGAAGCCCACAGCAGACATTTACTGTTGCTAAGCTGTGATTGGACGCCGGCTGTCGGGGGGATCTGAGGTAGGACGAGGATTCTGGTCCTCTCAGAGTTCTGTGTTGGGTCCGCGTCCAGGTCTTCCCTCACACTCCCTGTGGAAGTCGCAGCCGTCCAGCAGGTGGCGGTAGGTGGCGCGGACGTCACGGTACAGCGGCGCGTCCTCCTCCAGCCCCGGGAATCGAACAGGGGCCTCGTTGAGGAGCAGCTGCAGCCGCGGCCCCCGCTGGCAGTCGTACAGGACGAAGATCAGGTTGGCGGCGTACGGGACGATGAGGCTGCTCCGGAAACTCCTCCCTGTGAGACAGGAAACACTTAATGAAACCAGGAAGTGAGCTCTGATTGGACGTCAGGGTGGAGGCGGGGCTTCCTACCGTGCTGTGTGTGGTAGTTGCTGGCAGTGGGCGGAGTCTCGTCCTTGAAGAGTCCCAGCAGGGACAGCAGGGGGAGCAGCGTCTCCGCATGACCCACCAGGATGGAGGCGGGCTCTGGGGGTGCCTCCGTGGACCTGACGGACCGCACCAATCGATAATCAATAATCAGTGGTCCATAATCAGTAAACACGATTAATAATCAGTGATCAATAATTAGTCTTCAATAATCAGTAATCACCTATAAATAATCAGTAATCAATGATTACTGACTGTGATGTCACTGACCTGCGGGGGCGTCCTGCTTTGTCCAGCGTCCTGAAGACGTGATGGAAGAGAGGACAGCTGGACAAACCGCTGATCATGTGACCATGAGAGCGTTTCCAGTACTGCTTCAG